ACTCCGCGTCGTCCGGTGTCACCCTCACTGTCCGCTCCTTTGGAGCTCCGATGTTATCAATAACATCCGATGAAGAGCTGCTAAGCCGCAGTCTTCGTCCAATGGATGACGTGCCACTCCACGCGCATCTGGAGAAACGTGCACAAGATGCCTCGGCCTCTGTCCGACCACGCCATCAATGGCAAGCAGCGACTGCTTTGCAACGAGAGCAGTGCTCGGTGGTTTGCGTGCCACATCACGGGGGCCTCGCCCTCGATGCCTCGGCCCTTGACCATCTATGACAAGCGTGCAGCGACTGCTTTGATACTCGAGCAGCGCTCAGTGGTCTACGTGCCACTTCACGTGCATCACGAGGGCCTCGCCCACGATGCCTCGGCCCTTGGCTGATCACGTCACGCATGACATGCAGCGACTGCTTCGATACTCGAGCAGCGCTCAGTGGGTTACGTGCCACTTCACAATCATCCCGTGAGCCACGCTCGGGACCCCTGTTCGATACACCGTTGGTGTTCACCAACTCGGACATTCCAATGTCCAGTACGTTGCCCGTCTCGGTCTAGTGCTCCCGCCAATAGCGCTCTCCTCTCCTAGCGGTGGGTTCTTGACTCGCCAAAGCTCCACCAGGAGACGTGCGGTAGCGCCCAAGGTCTTTGACCCTCAATCAATTCATGGCTCATGGTGTTCCAACCATGCCATTTCTAGGATAAGGTCATACCTTGCTCCAAGTCTAAGACTAGACAGCGTTCCACGCTATCGAAGTCAAGAAACTTGACTCCGAGGTCCACAGGGATCTTCGAGACCGTGACACGCGTCCACGTCGCTAAGCGAACAGTGACGATGTCACCCAACCGCTTTCACGTCATCATACAGCTGGCTTCGCTCCATCGTGGAGAGTCGAGCATAATTGTCCGATGCCCCAGAATCGATGAGAGGCTTTCATGGCTTCTCGAGGTCCTATACGGTCGCCTCCACGATCAGCAAGCCCAGCTTGCACACACGTTCCGTGTTTAAGAGCACGGAGCTCTTCGGGACTGAGCCCTGTTGCTCTTTACCTCTTTGACACCCAATAGAACTCAGTTCGTCCCCAGTAGGGCACCCTGCGCCTACTGAGTGGTGTTGTTTCCCTGCGACAAACCATACTAGATAGAAGCGAGACATCGGTTCGAT